ATGATATCTAATTTAGTTCTTATGTATATACACCTACGACTATCTGAAATATACGATACTATTGATTGTGATGATGGTTGGTTCGGTCAAAAGCACGTTCTTTTATTTGGAGATCTGCTTCAGTTACTTCCTGTACATGAAGATCCTGCCTTTATACAATTAACAGCTGATAACATTCGTAAATATCTTGGTTCTTTAAATGCTACTAATCTATGGACTACTTTATTTGATTATGATGAACTGACACTCAATATGCGCCAGCAAGAGATGGACCTTATCGTGAGTTGCTTTCCAGAATTCGCATTGGTTTATTAACACCATCTGATTGTGATATTCTTGAAAAAAGAAAAATATCTTTCAAAAGTGAATCTTTTGAAACAAGATTAAATGAATTATGTGATTTTATTAATAATTTATCATCTGATACCGTTTGTTTATTACCTACTTGTCACATGTGTAACAAACTTAACGCTGCAATGTTGAGTCGAATTGCTTCGAAAGAAATATTTTTGATTGCTGAAGATACAATTGATTGTATTCCATATATGAAAAAAAAAGTAACAAAAGTACTGTCTAATGATAATGATGATGATGATGATACTAGAACAGCTGGACTGTCAAAGCGAATTACAATTAAAATTGGAGCGAAAGTTATGATAAGACGCAATATTGATGCCAGTTTAGGCCTTGTAAATGGTACAATTGCTACAGTTATATCAGTTGTGCAGGATAAAACTACTGATTATATAGAAAAAATAAAAATTCTTTTGCCGTCTGGTTTAGAGTATTTTATTGAAAGAGTAAGTGTTAAATTTCCATTGATGGATAGAGTATATGTTATTAGAAAACAATTTCCATTATGTTTGAGTTTTGGTATTACCATTCATAAAAGTCAAGGATTGAGTTTGCAAAATGCTATTATGGATCTAGGTAATAATGTATTTAGTTGCGGTCAGACTTATGTTGCATTATCTCGAGTAACATCTCTTAATGGACTGCACTTAATTAATTTTGATCCTTCATCCGTGTTTGCTAGTGAAAAAGCTATTCTAGAATATAATCGATTGAAACAAATACATAATTCAGAATCAGAAATAATCACTATTTCAAAACAGCGTTATTGTAAAGTTAAAGATGTTTCGTGGACATTACCGAAAGTAATTACTTCCGTTCAAGAATCATGTCAAAAAGAAGCTTTATTAAAAAATACTGCTTGGATTATACGCGGTTTTCAAAATATAGACAAGGTTTCATGTTATGCGAATGCAGTATTACAATGTTTATTAAATTTATATATTTTCAGAAAAGAATTATTAAATTATGATAAACTTGATGTTTTAAATGTGTTCACGCATCGATATGAACATGGAATGAATACTTTGAATACCTATGAAATACGGCAATCTTTAGGAGAGTATTTCTCGGTTGCTAATAAACGAGATGCATTAGAATTTCTTACAGCTCTTTGCTCAAAATATGATTATATAAAGAGTATGGTAGAACATCAAGCTATTTCTACTTATCAATGCAATTCATGTGGTTATACAAATGTTACTACTAATACTAATATCTTTCTTTCAATTTCTATTAATAATCTGAAAAAGAAAAGTTATAATCTTGATGATTTATTAAAAAATACATTTTCATCACATTGGTGTCAGACGTTTGATAAATTATGTGAATGTTGTAGAAGAAATGATATATTATTTAAAAGTGAATTAGTTTTGAGAACAAAAGAAATACTTATTATCAACTTAATATCATTTTCTTCAGATGGTGATAAATTAGTAAAGATACCACATAAATTTAGTTTACGTGCAGTCCCGACAGCAAAAATAATAATGGCTGGACAGACATATAAAGTTATGAGCGCTATATTCCATTACGGTTTTTGTATCGACGAGGGTCATTATACAAGTATGAGAGAAGGAACATCTTGGATTGAAATTGATCATGCGCAAGTTATAAAAAAACAATGGCCTAGAGATACTAAAGATGTTTCCATATTATTTTTACAGAAAAATGTTACCAAAAATATATACTAAGCAACATATATATTTACAACCACTGTAGATTGAGACTATTTGTATTGCTAATTCGAAAGTCTTCTTATTCCAATCTCGCAAAGAAAAGTAATAGCAACTTGAACTTTTCTTTAAAAAAATAATTTCATTGAAGGTCTTCCTATGCTGATTCATTCAGTAAAAGAGCGTGTGCTCATCAAATAAAACTATTTTACGATAAAATCTACTAAATATAGATTTGCACAAAAAAATGTTGCTGACTACAGCTAATTCTGATTAGCTGAAATGCATTAGCTACTATAATTGCATTAGCTACTATAGCTGTGAAATTTGCTAATAGGGTAACTCCGATATATACACCGCACCTATCAAAAACTTAATTTATTAAGTATTATTTACTATTTTTAAAATAAACGAACTATATCAGTAAAAACTTTGTTTAGAAATCCGAAATATTTAGTTTTCGTATTAAAAAATAAACTTTTTGAAATCTTGCATTTTTGCTATATATAGATAATGGATGGGATATATGTCAAAAATGCAAAGGTTTCAAAAAACTAAACAAAGAATACGAAAGCAAAGCACTTGTATTTTGTGTGCTATACAACATGCTTTACTATTCTTCTACACGTATGTATCACGAAATAATCACTGGGTCTTTTATATGCCTTACAGTATCATTTTATGTAGATTATAATTTATGATGATGCTACTTGTTACGCATACAGTGACAAATCGATTCAACTTACAATAATTTCATTAACAGTAAAAAGCTGAAATTATAACTCAATTTTATTATCAGGTTATTTTCCCAGAGAGACAATACCTCTTTGGGGTGATACAAATATAAGCGGCTATGCCGCGCGCCAATAAAAAAAAATATATTTATTGCGGGGGACAAGTGCCCCCCCCCCCCC